GTGCATGTGAGGCAAGCACTCTACCAACTGAGTATATCCCCAGCCCTGGCATTTTTAACACTGTAGTTTTCACCTGGATTCTTTCTGGTCAGAGCTGGGTAACTTGGGGCAAACTAACATTTCCCTACCTCCTGGGCCTTGGTGTACCCATCTCTACAATAGGAAGAATAAGCCAGGTCAGGATCTAAAACCTCATATACCCACAGAGTCCACCTAAACAGGTACTAGAAAGGAGTGAAGCTACCTAGATAGTGCTAGAGCAATTAGAGTGCCAACATCTCAGGGCCAACTGAGGGTCCCAGCAGTGTGCTAGCCCACGTAGGGTTTTGTACAGCCACACAGGTGCCCTCAGTTGTTGTGTGTGCACATATATGTACTCACCTGCAGGAGGCCAGCCATGTGCCTATCAGCCCCCCACATGCATTCCCGCTGGTCTGCGCCCATCTGGGCAGCAGATGCAGGGGGGAGGGGAGAGTCTTAGCTCACACATCCAAGCAACACCATGAGCTGTTGCTTCCAGCTTATCTTAAAATAGCAACAGCGAAGAAATCAGGCCACACTGGGCCCTGGGGGAGGGATGATGGAAGGTGGCAGGGGAATGGCTCAGAGCCCCTGCTTAGCCCTGTCCCTGAGTCTCCATCTCCCTTCCACCCTGGAGGGGAGTCTCCAGGGTTCTGTCTGAGTTCCCCATCTGGCTCAGAGCCAGACACAAAGGAGCTAGGGATAAATGGGTGACTGACTGGGTGTGCTGTCTATCCCCCTACCCCACCCAGTCCAAATGATAGATATGGAGGAGGCTGCCAAGTGCTGGAAGGAGGGGTGCAGAGAGTCTAGCACCCCCTCCACACTCTCAGCTTCAAGCCATGATTTGAAGGGATTTCACCCTTCACACTTCCACCCTACTTCTAAGTTGCTCCAAATAAACAATTTAATTAAAAATTCTCCTTGCACTGCCAACCCCACGTAGCCTTCCCCATTCTTCCAGCATAGTCCTCCTGGCTGCCCTCACCAGCCCTACCCTTTTCTGCCCTCAGCCAGAGGAAGTGGCCCAGGAAGCTGCTGAGGAGCCGCTGATTGAGCCCCTGATGGAGCCAGAGGGGGAGAATTATGAGGAACCACCTCAGGTGAGGGGGTGATAGAGTCAGGCTGGACCTTGGGCACTCAGGATGATTGCTGCGGTCCCTAACTGGGGCGGGAGGTTACTGGCATGATAAGGTTGGGCCAGGGGGCTTCAGCCTTTGCCTCTTTTAGAACCCAGGCTGCAGGAGGTGGGAGCAGGGAGGGGAGGTCAGATGGGGCCTAGCATTGAGCTCCAGGCAACCCCTGCCTAGAAATACCCAGTTGTCCCCAACTTGGGGTTCCTCCCTTGGTCAGGGGGAGGCGCATGCATTGTTCCTCCTCAAGGGGTGGGGATCTGGGGGCCAGGGTTTGGCCACTTGGTCTCCAACCCCTTTTCCCATTTGCTCTTCTCTACTCCACCCCTAACCCACTGATGCAGGAGGAATATCAGGAGTATGAGCCAGAGGCGTAAGGGTCCAGAACGGCCCCCCACCAGCAGCACAATTCTTTCCTTGTCCCTGCCCGCCTCCCAGAACCAGGGCTGTCCCTCTACCCCGTCCCCCAAAACACGAGATCTTCCTTCTGCTCTGAGGAGCCCTCTCAGAGCCTGTGTTTGTGTCTGTCTGTCTGTCCTACCTGCCCGCGTCCAACCCTGGGCGTGAACCCGGCTGGGGCTGGGGCTGCAGCTGTGGCTGAGAGTCTCTCCTCACCAGTGTTGCCCCTTCCTGCCCCTCCTGTCTGGTGTCTGTGTGGATGTCGCATGTTTTATGTATTTTTAAACAAAAATAGGAAAGCGACCACTCCTCTCCCACCCGGAAAGAGGCTCTCCGAGGGACCTCCGGGCAGCCCCAGAGCACCCCACCCCACTCCCACATCACACCAAGAACTTTTTTTTTTTTTTTTTTTTTAACCAAAACCAGGAGCCAGGCTGTGCCATGCCCCCTCCCCCAGCCAGCCCAGTCCGAGCGCGAGCGTCATGTGTTGTGATTGTGGCATGGAAAGTCCCCCACCCCACCGTGTGAGCGTGTCCCGGGCGGGCAGGCGCGGCCGCCCCCCCGTGTGTCCATGAATAAAGCCAATCTGTCTATAGCCAGCGCCKCAAGGGCAGGGTTGGGCTGGGAGTCGGCGAGGGTGGGGGGGCAGAGGCTGCTCTTCACTCGGTGGAGTCTAGTAAGCTCAGCCACGTACGAAGCTGACCACCTGGGACCTTGGCTTCTCCGTCTCGCGCCATGACCTGGCCGGGGAAAGGGGACCCCACAGGACTGAGACCAGCAGTGGACTGTGAGATAGGAAAGTGGTTTGGGGCGCCACCTGCTGGGCTGTAAAGAGCTCTCTGAGGTGCGGGGTCAAGGGAAGCTCCACGCCGCAGAGGCAGTGCGGGTGCGCGGATGCGCACGCTCGCTCAGACCRGCGTGCACGAGCCTGGTGCCTGCACTGAACCCGAGAGTACGAACCCTGGGCAGCCGCACGTGGAGACACGCGTGTGCTCTCGCAGCTGGACAGGAGCCACGCAGAAACCTTCGGAAACCAGCAGCGCAGACACAGAGACATGTTAATGCGCACACAGCCCTGCTCTCACCTGCCCAAAGCAGAAAAACAAAATCCCTAAACAGGCGGGAAAGAGCCATTGTCCCCCAGAAGGGGACAGAGCTCCGGTCTCCATCCCTCCTAGAAGGGCGCCTGAAATTTTGAGGTTTCAGCTTAAGAGTGCGAGCCTCGATAGAAATGTAGGAAAGCGGTCCTGGAGCCCTCGCCGGTCAGGACCGGCACTAGGGGGCCCCAAACACCGCCTCAGAGTGAAATAGAAGGGGATGGAGATACTGCGGGTTCTGCGCAGAGGCTCCGCCCCCGACAGCACGAAAGCCCAGCCTTTATTGGCGCAAAAACTCCCGTTCCTCGGCCTCGCCCCCATCCGTGCATCGCCCCTGCCCTCTTTTGCTGTACAGGCCCCACCGCGTCCTGCAGAGGCTCCACCCCCAGCTTGCGGGAGCCCGCTCGGCTTTGCCGCAGAGGCCCGCAACCTTGACTGCGCACCCCGCCCATTTTTATGCTTTGGTAGATCCCTGTTTCTAGCCGAAGCCCAAGCCTTACCCTCCAGCTGCAAAACTGCAAGCTTGATTTATTTAATAAGTCCCAAGTATTAGCGTCTCTTCCTACCTGAGTTATTGCAGGCGAGAGGCGACGTCAAACCTGGGAAGGTCATGAAGCTGGAGACCAGTCTGCTCCTGTCACCTTGGTCTGCAATGTAGGGGCCTTTATGCCCTGAAGCAGGAGGCATCTGACAGACGGAGGGTGTGTGTGTGTGTGTGTGTGTGTGTGTGTGTGTGTGTGTAGAACAAACTGGTGGCCTTGGATTTTGTGATTCTTGTGAGGGTGCAAGGTGCTCAAAATCCCCTTGGGCTGAACTAAGACACGACTTACAACCCACAGTCCTAGGGGATTGCAAACTTGTGGCCCTTGGTTGAATTTGGCCTCTAGCTATGTTTAATTTGCTACCACAAGGTTTTAAACTTTAAAAATTTGAGTGTCTCCTGGGCACGATGGTGTGACTGTAATGTCAGAGACTAGAGAGGCTGAGGCAGGAGGATTGAAAGTTCTAGGCCAGCTTCAGCAATTTAGCAAGACCCTAAGCAACTTAGTGAGGCCCCGTCTCAAAAAATGAAAAGAACTGGGGATGTAGATCATTGGTTAAGCGCCCCTGGTCAATCCCCAGTACCAAAAAATAAATAAATAAATAATAAATTGAATATCTTTGGGTTGAGCACACCTTTTCCATTTTGCCATAGTCCTTTCCTTATTGTATTACTCCTATCCTCTATTTTCATGAACAGCTTGGCCTCTAAAGAAGTTTGCAACCTCTGATCCAGCGACCAGCACCTGATCCCCATTTTTAGATGACAAATCCGTATTCACCATCTGGTCTGTGGGGAAATTTATTCCTCATTCCCGGGTGCCAACCCCTACCTACACCTGGTCCTACTGAGAATGGTTCTGCTCAGAGACCAATGTTCTCGTCTGCCAGGGTTACTTTACATGCATTCCAGGCACAGGTCCAGAAGCATCAGCAGAGGATGCCAGGCCCGGGTCAGAAGGCAGTCCTGGCTGTGTGTGTATGTGTGTGTGAGCCCACACAGATCATGGTCTCATCTCATGTGACAGGCACAAAGTAATTTCCCAAGGGCCCAGGCATGTGGTCCTTAACTCCATTAATTTCACTTGAAGCCAGCTTCAAGGCTTCTTTGTTATTTGCCCCAATTTGTGAATGAGGAAATGGAGCTCAGAGAGGTAAAACCACATGTCCTGGTCATCTTGCTGGGAAGTGGCAAAAGAAATATTGAGCCCCAAACCTGAATTCAAAGCTTAACACCTTTCCAAAATGGGCTTTCTGTGGCTTTGTGGAGAAACAAACAAACGAAAACCAATAGGAAAATGCAGAGAAGCAGCAATGTGGAGATTACAGACACTCGTGCAATGTCGTGGAACCCAGGAGCAACACTGTGTGAGTTAGTGGGRTGTTCACACTTACAACTGAGATATGGACATGCATTTGCACTATGTCTGTATCTGTGTTTGTGTGTGTACACAGATGTTGCCCTGTGTGCTGAGTTCATTTAGTCTTCCAATAGTGTGTTTACACACTTGTTCTCCTCTTAGAAGTGAGGGACTTCGGGGAATAGCCCTGCAGGTYAATGCTCTGACAATTCACCTCCCAGAGATCACACAACAATCAACAAGATAATTTCTAGTTTTATGAAGCACATAAAAGGGAGCCATGTGATAGAAAGTCACAGGGAGGGGGCGATGGCAACACTAAAATAAGGTGGCTGGGTCAGGTGTCTGAGGAGGTGAGGTGGAATTAAAACCTGAATGAAAAGAGGTGGTTTGGGCACAGCCAGAATTGCACACCAGAGAAAGTGCCCACCCCTGTGCCTGGGCATGTGCATAGAGGGAGTGTGGTYAGCAAGGCTCACCCCACCAGGCCTCAGGATATCTGAGATCCTGCACCAGCCCCACCCCTCCTGGCCTGTGCTGTCTCCTCCTTTGCCTGGGCTCTTTCCCGCATCCAGACAAGCTGCCCTCAACCGTGCCTGATGAAATGCTTCCCTCTTCTGAGCTTTCCCACTCCTCTGACCAGAAGTACATTCTGCTCAGCTGTGCACACAGACTCCCCCTTCCCACCCACGTCAGCCCTCTCTGGACCCTTGCTGGGCGGCTAAGCAGAAAATGATGGCGGGCTGGGGGTCATCCCTGCATCCCTGCCATTGTCTGTCTTCCCTCGTCTCCCCACCCCCATCCCCCAGTAATGCGGCTTCCCAGCTTTCTCTGGAACTTTATTTTTGTTTTCTCCCTTCCCTATTTATAGCTCTCTCCCCTCCCAACCATCCCTGCATCCATTCTGTTGCCTAGAAACGGGCTCTGGGCTGAGGGTGGGGGAAGGCCAGACGGAGCCCAGGCAGGGGGAAAGGAAGAGATGTCACCCACTCCCCCCGCAGCACCGCCCCCTGGCTCCCAGAAGCCCACTCAGCCCTCTGCCCAGCACCCACAAGTGTTTCTTAAAAGGATGAAACAAAATGTGAGAACCAGCAGTCCTTTGTGGAGTCGTTCATAGCTTCTCAAGCTCCTGATGAGAGTGGCTTCACTCGTGACTCTTAATAGCCTCTATCCTACCACAGGACTGGACCCATTATTTTCAGATGGGGAAACTGAGGCTTCAGGAAGCAAAGGTCCCCACAACCAACGCTTTCTCAGAAGAAACTCCAGGCTCTAAATTTGATAGTCTTGGTATATTAGTCTGAAACATGAAAGGTTTGAAAGCATAAATAATTCCATAATTCATGAATTGCAAGAACGTAAAGGAAAAAATGTTTCTACATCTCTGCCACAAACCCTGCTGCCAGAMACACCTCTGCCATCCCTTCTCACATACCCCCAATGCCCTTACCATGGCCCTGCCATGGCTCAACCATGCCACACTACTATGCACCTTTGATGCCCAACCATGTCCCTGTCATGCCCCTGTAGTACCCCCACCATGTCTTCCTCCTAGCAATCGCCATATTACCTTGCATGCCCCCCAACCGTGCCCTAACTTTGCCCGAATCGAAGCTCCAGGGCTTACTTCCCACAGAATGGACCAGAGGGCTGGGCTTTCATCCTGGCTCAGTCATCTCACTAACGATGTGACACTGGTCATTTCATATAGTTCTCTGAGCCTCAGTTTCCTCCGCTCCAAAGCTAATTTCCACCCCCTAAGACCAGTAGGAGAATTAAATGTGATGCTGATGAGAAAGAGCTTTATAAACTGCACTACTGTGAAATGTGAGTGATCAACTAGAGTAGTGAACAGTGTTATTGTTGCTGTTATTATTAGAACCCAGACATTGAGGAGGCAAGTCAAAATGGGCCCTGGTATTGGAGAGGGAGCCCCTGGTCTCAGTTCAAACAAAGGACACCTTTTCCTGGCAGAATGAGGGTCAGGGTGAGGGCTTCCTGAAAGGCTCTCTTGTGCTTTGTCCTCCTTCTCAAGTGCCCCATCCCCCGCTCCCTGCCCCCACTCCAAGGCCCACCTTTGCCTTCCAAATAGGCTTTCTGGGCAGAATGGGGGAGGGGGCTGCCAAGGAGCAGCTGGGCCATGATTCAGCCTGAGTCACCCATCCAAATCCTGGGGCCGCCCCCAGCTGGGCCAGGGCCTGCAGCTTTGGGGAGGGTGAGGGGGTTGCAGCAGG